CTACGTATACGTATACTCTAATACTATATAGCACTATGGTACTTCACATTCGCCTAGGAAGGGTCGCGTTGCGTAATGGTAGAATATACGACCCGGAACCCATGGGTCCTGGGTTCGATTTTACTTACATGCCCCGACGTTGTCCTCTCGGAAAAGGCACTTACAAGGCTTTCCTCACTTCACTCAAAATTAGTACATAGCTTCGGTTAGGTACGTCCCTCGGATAGGACATAAACTGATCTGATGAAAAGAATTATGTATTTACTATAATATCGTTCATAGGGATGTTTCATTTTCAGATTCCAGCCGAATCCGTCTTGTCGGAGGTTCCGGTCCAAACGAGGGGCGTGTGGAAGTCCGGCCGGCCGACAGTTTCAGATGGGGCACAGTCTGTCACAACGGTTTCGACTTGAAGGATGCAGAAGTTGTCTGCAGGATGCTGGGCTATCCGAATGCCTATCGAGTGCACCCTGATGCCTATTTTGGCAGGGGGTACAACTTTCCTTTACTAGATATGAGTATTTATGATGATTATAATGCACATCATTTGAAACCATTTCCTTCAGTGTATTACTGAAGGAAGACATTTATTGTACTTATAAAACAAGTTTTAACTGCAATATCAAATTCAACAAATTGGACTCATCAAAATATTTCAACTGTACAATTCCCGTCTTTGTTAAGGAATGAGCAATATACGCAGATATCACATGGCTTCTTGAGCAGTGGATTATAGGTTGCAGAAGGTCAGTGGCGCCCCCCGTCTCTGTTGAGGGAAGGTTGTAATGCCCTGATGGCTTCTTTAATCCCTTGTGCAGAAAAGTCCGATTCTGTGTCCAATATTATTTCTCTCTCTCTCTCTCTCTCTCTCTCTCTCTCTCTCTCTCTTCTCTCTATATAATATATATATATATATATATATATATATATATATATATATATATATGTATATATCCGCAGCCCGCGCGCAGAGAAAGTTAGGTAGGTAATACCTACAAAATGTATTACATAATCTACAAAATTCACAAATTATTGTAATGGCTACATTCTATCTGTTAACTTTGTTAACTGTAGGAACGGGACCGATCTACATGGAAGACCTACAGTGTGATGGGACAGAGAGTAGCCTGTTTGACTGTTCGCACAGGGGTTGGTTGATTCATGCCTGCGATCATTTTGATAACGTCGGCGTTGTTTGCGGTACGTGTGTGGAACATTTGGCAATTTGTTACCATTTCAACGTTTGGCGTTTGATGAGAAGACTTGTTTAATGAACACATTAGCAGCACTAACAAACATCCTGGCAGCTGGCTAATACTATGGTATGTTGAGGTTCATCGTGGAACAACTCTCCTTTAGCTGACCACCCGTGGGTGACAGCTTTTCTTCCAGGAGAGTGGAGGAGAGCTGCCAAAAACCGCACTCGAAAGGCATTCTTCAACGGAAGATCTGGCTAAAACTTGACTTAGTATTTGTTCACGATAGCTGCTTTCTATGAGAGAGCTTTTAAAATAGCTTTTAAAATATCAATAAATTTGATATAACAAAGAGTCTTGTTAGGTCACCGCAAGTAAATTTTATGGCTGACATCAGCATGCACGTGCATTAATATATGTCATACAAGAACGAATGTACAGTAGACAAACTATGTAATTATGTTTCCAAATGTTTCAAAAAGAGAGAAGAAAGGGCAACTAACAGTAGATGATAGGTAGTTTATAGTATTATTGTAATGTATAGATTCCTAGCACTTTGCATTAGAATACAGTGTACCAGTATGCAATACTCATGTTTTTGCATACTGCATACCCTCTTGTGCATTTAGCCCATCTGGGCAAGAACATGCAATAAAGATTCATATCATTAATATATCAATTTTCGGCTAATTTTGATGTTTTATCATACACATCATAGTTTACGAAATAAGCATATACTCTATGCCTTTGTTAAAAAAACACGTTTAGATCCCAACCGAATCCGTCTTGTCGGAGGTTCCAGTCGGAAAGAAGGACGTGTGGAAGTCCGACCGGCCGACAGTATGACCTGGGGCACAGTTTGTCACAACCAGTTTGACACAAAGGATGCAGACGTTGTTTGCAAAATGCTTGGCTACTCCAGTGCCCAACTAGTTCGTAACGATGCGTATTTTGGCCAAGGTGAGATTTACCTTGTTTCAACTAATGTTCTTGCTATGTACTAAGTATAAAGAAAACAACATGACTTTATATACAACACAACAGCTATGGTATATTCATTATTACAAAGATTCATGTATTCAACGTTAGGCCATATAGATCTAGACTTGATCAAATCAAATCAACTTTGTTGCTCAACATCTGTAGCTTGTACAATATATGGCTGGGAAGAAACAAAAAGTGTAGATACATTTCTTTAAATTTATCACCGGCTCCTTTTGCTAATAATCGTTAATGTACATCCATGACCTAAACCTAATTGCAAGTACGAGATAAATAACCATTGAAAGTCTTAGTATACCCAAATATTCTGTCACAAATACTTTTGGTAAAGTTATGTCGCATACCATTTAGTTTTCAAGGAATAACCTATCTAGACGGTTTTGGCCAATACAATCACATTAAGTTTACCATCCTCTTAAAAATCTGGTGGTCATACGAAATACCGTTCGCGAGTTCTGAGGGGGGGTTGAATGAGCCCCCCCCCCACCCCGTCCCACCAGGCCCCCCAAAAAAACCGGTCTAGATAGCTTAACAAAAATTGTGTTCGATGTTAACTCCCTGGCACTTGTGATAAATTGCTTACGTCACGTATCCGTAAAGTCACGTGAATATGGTCACGTGTCTGTAACCGTAACTCTCGCGAGATTACATTTTGAAGTCATGAAGGCGACAGTGCAGTGGTCGTTGAAAATTGTGTCTTTGTGCAATCTTTGTGTTGGAATAAAGTTTAACCATTTTACTACAACCATTTAAATTCATGAATTTCATAACTATCCCTTCGCCATATCTCAATGTTGCCTGGTATAATTGGTGTCGCTTCCTTTACAGGAAGAGGGCCAATCTACATGGATGACCTGCACTGTACTGGGGACGAGAATAGCCTGTTCAACTGCTCGTACCCAGGGTGGACGATTCACGATCTAAACTGTAACCACGACCAAGCTGCAGGCGTAGAGTGTACAGGTGCGTTCATTTTGAAATGTTGTAGAATCATGGATTGTTTAATCATCTTTGTATCAATTGTATCAATTACATATACCTACAAGCATAGTTACAACATCTTATATACAACAATTATGTAAAGACGACCGAAATGATCGAATTTTTGGGAGAATATGTTTTACAATCTGATCTTTACAATATGTAATTGCATAAAACTTCATATTTTTATAAACATGCGAATACATCCCTAATTACATATGCTTACAAACATATTGACAACATCTTTTTTAAAATGATTCTGTATAAACGTCCAAAATGTTCAAA